AAAAACTTTTAAACTTCAAAATTTTCTGTTGAAAGTTGACCCTATTGTTATGATTACCTTTACTCAATTAATGCCTTTCATGTGAAACATAGCCTATATCCGTATGTTTATATCAGTATTTTACTGATATATATATATATACACGTGTGTGACAGTGTGTGTTCATTTTGTTTGGTAAGATAGAATATAGAACAGGGTTTCGATTCAAAGATTTGTTCATCTTTATTAGTGATATGTTCTTATTTTAATCATGAAGATGGCCCTATGTGTTCACATATATATATATATTGCATGATCCTATTGTTGATTATGTGATGACCAAAACAATAAGTTATTTTAAGTGCAATGAGAAGGGGTTGAGACTTTGAAGACGGGAAAATGGAGGAATTTTGAAGGTTAGATAGAGTGTTGAGACCCCACGACAACTCTAAGTTGGCTCTTTCCAGGGCTAAAGTCATCTTGAAACACAATTGTCTACTTTGTGCTTATCAAAGAATTTGTCTAGTTGTTCTTTTTCTGGTTTACATTTGGTTAATGCTCACAGCATCTTTACTTTTATTATTATTTTTATCATTTAGTTTGGTCTAATCTTTTACTTTTTTATTATGGCTACTTATGCTGTGATTTGCTCTGCACATGATCACTGTCTTGGCCTGATGTGCTAGAGTCAACTTCATTTGCCCATCAAACATGTAAGCTTGATTGTACCTTTGATGGGAAAATAACACATTTTAAACTGTAAATTCTGGTTGCTTCACTATCAAGGAAATTAAAAAAAAAAAAAAACTAAGTAAAGCAAAAGGTTAAAAGCACTGTGAGCAGCTTTAATGAAGTTCCTTGAAGTTTCACTTAATCCCATTAGTCCATGTTCTATTGGTTGCTTTTGTGTTGGGGAGTGATAAAATCACTTTCATTGGAGTCTAAAGAAAGGTCAATCATTCACACTGTCAACTTTAGGCAAAGAAAAGAAAAGGGTACCTGTTTTCCATGTTATGTGGATAATATTATATGATACAATGTGCAAAACCTGTGCTTATATAGTTTAATATTTAATTCGGATTTATATCTCAACATCTGTAACTTTCGAAAAGAAAAAAGAAAAATAAATGAAATTGCAGATATGAATCTGTATGATCTGGTATATTATAATGTCAAATATATCAGAGAAATGAATCTCTTCCATAAGAGTTTCAATGGACCATCAGCTCTCTTGTTCAATAGCAATATGCTACTTTAATCATTGCAATGAAGAAATGAACATTATTTCATGCATATGTTCATTCTGTACCGGACAAGGTACGTTCGGCTTTAGTGTACACATTATTATATAGTCAACTCTTCTGCAGATCATAATTCAACCCACTAACGCCCTAAAACCTCATCTTTTCTGTTTTTTTTTTCTGGCCAATCCAACCCTGGTTAACTTAGATTCAACCATATTTGCTGACAGCCCCTGGTTTTTATGATAGAGCCAACAAGCCAGACAATGCCGAATGACATAAAAATTTGACCGACACCTGACCATTGGAACCGGGTTTAGTCGATTATTTTCTCACATATTTTATTGCTTAAAATTACATTATTTCTGTGGAAGTTGGGAATATAATATTGTTTCTTGTGTAGTTGAGCACTGTTTTTTTTTTTTAGTTTCTGAAGCAGAAGGGAAAGAAAAAAACAAATTAGGGAGACATGGGTTCTAGTTATGCTTCTTGGTGCATATCATGTTCTGTTCTTCTTGCTTTGATGGTACGGATCAACCTAAGCTTTGTTAGATTTATGCTGGACGACTAGCCTTTATCTTCCTACTTTGAAACTTCTTTCTTCAATTTTGATTGCAGGTTGTACAGGTATGTAATGCTCGGAAGATAACTCGAAGACACCATATCGAACAAGGTTCGATCAGCTCGAATTATCTGCAGCAGCCTTCGAGTACCGTCCATGGCAACCATATAGATCCTTCGGGGAAAATTTTCTTCAAGATGGAAGACCTTAAAGTAGGCAAAACAATGACTGTCTACTTCACCAGCAAAGACCTTTTGGCTTCCCCTCGACTTCTCTCTCGAAAGGAAGCCGATTCAATCCCTTTCTCTCAACAAAACTCCCACAAATCATCGAGTTGTTCGAGTTCTCGAATGACTCTCATCAAGCCAAAGCCGTGGAATATACAATCAAACAATGTGAGCTCGAACCCCTCAAAGGTGAGCTAAGGTTCTGCGCCACTTCCCTGGAATCAATGCTCGACTATGCTCGTTCTTTGTTCGGCTCGAACACGAACATTAAAGTTTTAACTACCAAGTTGCTCCGAAAGCCGACGGTTCCTTTACAGAACTATACGATTTCGGACATTCCGGAACGGATCCCTTCCTCTAGAATGATTGCATGCCATACTTTGCCATATCCTTATGCCGTGTTTTATTGTCACACCCAAAAGAGTGAAACCAGGCTGTTTCGGGTTTCACTAGGTGCTGAGAATGGAGATAAGGTGAAAGCTATTGCTGCTTGTCACATGGATACCTCTCAATGGGACCTCGATCATGTGTCGTTTCGTTTGCTTAAAATCGAGCCCGGATCGAGCCCGGTGTGCCATTTCTTCCCGCCAGACAATCTTGTATGGGTGTCTTTGTCTGCTTGATTGAAGGCACTGGTCCTAGTTCAGTTCATTGTAATGATACTGTTTGATATGAATGTTATGTAACACCATGTCCGGGTTTTCGAAGCACGCCATGGATTATGGATAGTCCCCTTGTAAGGATGGAATAAAAATAAGTTTGTATATGAGTAATAAAAAAATAATGTAATCCGTAGGGCTTTCGCAGTAACTTGATTCAATCATCAAAATATAAGATTTGGTCTTATATTTACTATAGTTGACGGTCTACAAGCCACTAAACGATACAAAGGGGTTTCCTTTTATTCGCTTCGCATTATCTACCCTTCATTCGCAAAAAAACTGGAAATCACTCTCAGATGGGGCTTGATATCCTTAAAACAACACCCTTCTCTTCCTCCTCCAAAGCTCTACTATGTACCACCACCATATATCGGTTCTAATTCTGTTGTTCCTTGTAATACTGGCTTGAGATTTCCATTTTCTTCGACAAAGGCCATTACTTTCTCCATTTGGGTTCGGAAGGTTCCTCCACTAAAGCTAGCGTAGGTACGGTGGGAGCGTGGTCGTGGCCATGGCTGGTTCTAGGTCCGTCCATAAATCTGAGGAAGAGTGGCGTGCTATTCTCTCCCCCGAGCAGTTTCGAATTTTGAGACAAAAGGGCACCGTGTAAGTTTTCTTTATAATGAATTGACATTGTTGATTATAACCTTTCGATGGAAAATTATAAAAAAGTTCAACTTTTATTGTTTTTGGACCCATTAAAGTTTGTACTCTAATAAATTACATGGAGAATAGACATTTTTGGATAATTTCGAGCTTTCAATGTGCAAAAATCTCTTCTTCTAGCTGTTTTATTCATGGAATAGCTTCTAGGAAGTTCATTCAAAGTTGTGGCATATGTTCTCCCAAATGCTTAATTGCTCAATATAGTTTCCTCCGACTCATGCTACGTAAGTCCTATGTTTCTCCACTCTAGATTAAGTGTCGGATTTGGGTATGTATCCTACACTTGTATGGTTAGATTTTTTCCAAGTTTTTCCATGTATTTAAGAATCTTAAGTTCATATACCATATCCAAGTGTGGGACACTGGTGCTTCATGGAGCAACATAGCTTAACTCATATTCATTGATAAATTCATAGCAATACTTTGATGCTGTATAGGTATCCAGGCACCGGAGAATATGACACTTTCTTTGGTGAGGGTGTTTATAAATGTGCAGGATGTAGCACTCCGCTCTACAGATCGGTAAAGAAATTCAATTCTGGGTGTGGTTGGCCTGCTTTCTATGAAGGTCTCCCTGGAGCCATTAATCGTAATGTGAGCTTCCTTTATCCGTTTCTGTGCTCTCTGTATACGTTTCTTCTATACATTCTAATGTTTTCTTCGTACCATCTTAAAACTGGTGTATCTTTCAAGTAAATTTCATTAATGGTGAGAGTGTTTCGTTTAACAGCCGGACCCAGATGGGATGAGGATTGAGATTACTTGTGCAGCTTGTGGTGGGCATTTAGGCCATGTATTTAAAGGTGAAGGGTTTCGAACGCCCACAAACGAACGCCATTGTGTCAATAGCGTATCACTCAAGTTTGTTCCTGCTAATTCTGGGCAGTAAGTCCTGTTATAGCAGCAGATATGTTGGTACTATTCAATTTATATAGGAAACATGTCCATAATGGCAGTAAATTATAGATAATTTCAGAGTATTTGATTCGAAGCTATCGGGCAGAGAAGCCTGTTGTAAATTCTTTGCTTATACTTAATCACATAAATTCTGTAATTCTCAACTCATTTTCCAGTGCAATGTAAGCATCAGATTAACAGTTGCATTTGTTACAATTCCAGCATTGATGTTGAAAATGATCATCATTTGTCATATTCCATGTTTCCGCGGAATAGATTCCGGTATGCTCATCATGCTTCATCTATGCTGGTCTTTCAAAAGCAGATTCCAAAAACTACAGCGATTTTACTCCCTTTGCGTTCGTGGCATTTTCATACTATAAAAACCGTATCTTTCTCAGTCCAAAGGCTTACTTACAAATGAACTTGGAATTCCCTCAACACTGCCAAGTAAAATAATTCAAACAAGCAAATAAATAAATTCTTAAATGAAAAAGGGTGGCCAGTAGTGACCGAGACGGTTATGATACACAGTGCATTATGCTACTCTCTTTGTGCAGCTTTTTGGCACATGAAGGCTATGGAAGTTTGCTTCTTTTGGAATGTTTGTATGCCTTCTTCGTTGAGATGACACCTTCGCTAAGGAAGTTCCACTATTGTTAGGATCTGATGTTTCCTTGGGGCATCTGGGCAACTTCTTCCTACTTGATGCTACCCACCCTGTAAGAACCGGGATTTTGTCTTTCCTCGGATTTTTGAGCTGCCTTGTCTTGACCTTTCTCCGTCAGTGATGGAAATGTCATTTTCTGATGCATAGGAACATTACGTTTTTTGTGGAGTACCAGAAGAAATCTTGTTTCCGCTGATCCTTTTGATTTCTTCGAGTTAGAAGTCTTGATGGTTTGCTACAAAGTACAATATAACTTCAGCAAATTACCTAGACGAGCAATGAACAGCTATGGAAAGCAAATAGAAAGTTGACTTACTGGTTGATCTTGAAGTGTTCTGTATCTGATCCATGGTCACTGATTTCGTTTATCTGCAATCAGACGGGGAAAACCATTAGTCCAGTGCAATGATTATTCCATGGTATAATGAGTGTAAGCTCAAAGAACTCACTTCTACATTCCGATGTTTCCTCAATGAATTTCCACCTTGGGGTCCTGGAAAGGTTGTTTCTGTCAATGGTGCTTGAAGATCCTTCTTCTCCAAGTTTGCTTCCTTCAAAATTCCTCTTTCCTGAACAGACAGAAAATTGTCAGATAACATGGAAACAATTTATGCCTCTTTTCATTTCAATAATATCTACTCAAAAAAAGATGCATACATCGGTTCTAAGTCGAAAAGGCTTGGGAGTTTAATTCTTTGGTTTTCTGTACTTCATCCCTTGAGCACCTTTATCTGCTGTAGAGTTTTCTTTCATTGCCTTATTCATTACTGTAGTACCATGCATAATCACGAACAGATATTAGAAAACCAAATGGTGACGCACTAACTGTCATAAAACAGATATTACACAAACAAAGAATACGACTTTAGTTACAAAATAAACTACTTTTTGAATTTTTTAGAAGTTTCATGCCACCCAACTTCCTTTTTCACCGGCTTGCCCGTAGCACAATTCAATTGTCTGCAATTAAATGTTGTACAAATTCAATGGCGAATGCAGGTGAATAATGAGGAACAGAAGTACGAAAAAACATGTTATGAATTCCATACCTGTTTTCATCAGAAGCTGTTGCATTTTATTTGTTATCATTCTCCGTTGCTTCAGGGATTTCAATGTCCTTAGAACATGGTTTAATGTTCTCTTCATGGCTGCACCTCTCATTAATTTCATTGTCCCCTTCAGACTGAAATGGAGGTCATCTTACTCCTAGAGGGAGATGAAATTTTGACATTCTCGTCAATTGCTTGCTCCAATCTATCTGAAGGGTTCTTCGAAGCACTTTCAACCGAGTCTTTTTCAATCGGTTTTTGACACAGTGGCCTCAGACAGCGACAAGTCTTTGTCGCTGTTCTTTTTCTGCAAACGTTTTAAAGTTTTAGCTTCCTGAGTCTTCGGCTTCTGGCAGTGCAAAGAATCATTCACTCGGCTCTTAACCTCTCTCCCTCTCAACTATTTCCTTGGAGCATCTAAAGGTTTACTATTACACCCGAATGCATTCTTCTTACTTCCATCGTTCATCTCAAGCTTCTGCATCCCTGCACATATCTTCCTTAATGAACTACTCAATTCTACAGACTTCTTCAACTTCACCACCTTATTTGGAGAGTGAAACACCAAGGCCTTAGTAGATGATTGCTTTGCTGCCTTCACATTTGATGTAGTTGAACTCTGCTTAGCAACATGTCTAGCCCTCACGTTTGCTTCACACATCTTCTGTGAAATGGATGAAATCATAGCCAATTTTGATACTCTGGACTTTGAAGACTTAGCAGGAACAGTACGGGGGCATTCCAATTTTGACCTATAATCACTATAAAAAACAAATTGATGAACAAAATAAAAACGTAAGTCTCAAAGAAGAAAAACAGAAAAGCATTTCCATGAACATACCTTGAGTCTCTTTTGCAAAGAGCTTTTCTAAGCCCAACCCTTGGACTCCTAGCTGCCATAACCTTAAAGATTCAGTTGTTTAAGTTGAGCAATGAGAAATCACTTTAAAATATGTGAAAATGTGGAGGGAAATAAGGGGGCGAAATTTGTCAAATCCTAAGAACAAAGTTTTTATAAATTTCTTCTGAGTCCATTTCTTCTTCATGCTTTTGATCACATCCTGAGAAACAAGAACAAACAAAATCATTGGGACATAAAATCGAACACTTGTTTGAAATATATTAGACAAAAATAAGTATTTTTAGAATAAAACTAATTAAACTCTTGACTTTGAAATATATTTTACAAGTAAAAAAAATTACATTGACTGCTATAGTCTCATAGATTTAATTTTTAATTTTTTAAGTAATGGACTAAACATCACATTGTTAAAATACAAGGACCGATTACAAATTTTGACCGAATTAAATATCAAACTTCAAATGAGCATTGAGCAGAAGTCAGATAATCAAGCTAATTTGATCATACCTAATTTAAATAAGGGACAGAGCTAGATTAATCCCTTCAATGATAAAAGTTTCAATTTCAGTTCCTTTAAAAGGTTAACTATGATAATGATAAAATCCTATTTTAGCTCCTATAAATGATGAATTTTCAATTTAACCCTTTAAAATTTTATAACTTACTATGGAAACCTGCCAAACTGAGTTTAGGAGACCTCTAAGTTAGGCAGTAATGCGTTAAAAAATTCACAACAAAACAGAAAACAGAACCTTTCATGAATTTAAACACAAATTTCGTTAAAAACAAACAAAATAAAGCTTTGTATATAAAGTACCTTCAGCTGCCTCATTTCATCATAGATGATCTTCAACATTCATTGTTATAGTTTCTTTTCTGGGGTTTGTTTTCTTGTGCAATAGAATAATCAACAAAGAAAAGCTGCTGCTTCTGTGTAGAGTTAACCGGAAATGGGGAGGTTGATGCCGCGAATACGACCGACATTATCATCGTCGGCGCTGGAGTTGCCGGTGCTGCTCTCTTATACACTTGGAAAGGTCCCTGCATCACTCATTTCCCTTGTTAACATCTTTTCTTTGATAAAACATTCGTTGCTAAGATGTTTTTTCCGATTTCAGGACGGACGACGAGTGCATGTGATCGAGAGGGACTTAAAGGAGCCTGACAGGATTGTTGGTGAACTTCTACAACCAGGGGATTATCTTAAGTTAATTGAATTGGATCTTGAAGGTAATCAATGGCACTTGAATATGCTATTTGACACTGGTTTTAAGGCCTTTTGACACTGGTTTTGCCCCCTCAGATTGTGTTGAAAAGATCAATGCTCAACGAGTTTACGGTTACGCTTTGTTCAAAGATGGAAAGAGTAAGAAGTTGTCGTACCCCCTCGAAAACTTTCGTTCTCTTGTTGCTGGCAGAAGCTTTCATAATGGACGGTTCATTCAAAGGATGCGCCACAGAGCTGCTACTCTTCCCAAGTAATAATATTCTTCTTTTTCGATCGTTGATGTTATCCGGACCTTTTATTTTCTTATAATATTCGTATCCTATGATACAGTGTAAGTTTAGAACAAGGTTCAGTCACATCTCTGTTAGAAGAAAAAGGGACCATCAAAGGAGTTCAATACAAAACTAAGGATGGTCAAGAGTTGACAGCCTAGCTTCCCTTACCATTGTATGGTACGGTGGCTTCTCGAATCTGCGGCGCGCTCTTTGCGACCCTAAGGTGAGGAATCTCTCATTAACATACTCTGGTTGACGGTATAAAGATGTTTGCTGTTCGATTCAGGTTGATGTCCCTTTGTGTTTTGTCGGTCTGGTTCTGGAGAACTGCGAGCTTCCGCATGTGAATAGTGGACATTTTATATTGGCAGACCCTTCACCTATCTTGTTTTACCCTATTAGCAGCACGGAGGTCCGGTGCTTGGTCAACGTACCTGGCCGAAAAGTACCTTCTGTTTCCAATGGTGAAATGGCCCATTACTTAAAAACTACGGTGGCTCCTCAGGTACTTGTGTTGGTTTACGTACGAGTTGAATCCTAGTGCTTAATAAACTGAGAATTGAAACAACGACCATTATATGCATGTCAGATCCTCCTGAACTATACTTTGCCTTTATCACAGCAGTCAGTAAGGGGAACGAGGAGGAATGACCGTTGCGCTATCGGATATTGTTCTCCTAAGGGATCTTGTGAGACCACTCCACAATCTTCATGATGCATCCGCTCTTAGCAGATATCTCGAATCCTTTATCCTTGCGGATGGTAAGCTTCAAATCCATTCAAAGAAAGACAAGGATGAACAATTTTCCTTCCACATACTGAATGGTATCGGTTTTATGATATGCAGCCAGTGGCATCTACCATAAACACGTTGGCCGGCACCCTGTACAAGGTATTTAGTGTCTCACCTGATACGGCAATGGAGGAAATGTGGGAAGCGTGTTTCGACTATGAGCCTTGGAGGCTCGTTTTCAACTGGACCTACATCTCTACTCTCCGGTCTAAATCCCCATCCCGTAAGCCTAGTGCTACATTTCTTTTCTGTGGCAATATACGGTGTCGATCGTCTGTTACTTCCGTTTCCTTCTCCAGCACGCATCTGGACTGGGGTTTGACTGGTTTCTGTATGTATCTGATCTTTTAAACCTTATTATGAGATCTCGTTCTTGTTTTCTTTACTGACTGCTTTTGTACATTTCCAGGGTGCATCAGGCATTATTTTCCCTCTGATCAGAGCAGAAGGAATTAGACAAATGTTTTTCCCTGCAACTGTGCCAGCATATTACAGAGCCCCTCCAGTTCATTAAACTAAAGGAACATGAAAAATTTCAGAACAACCCAAGGCTTTTCTACTAGAAAACACTTGAATTTATAATCTGCCATATTATTTTATCACTTCTCCATCTAAGAAACACAAGTAATGTATGATAGGAATCGTGTCAGCTATTATTTTAGAGAATTCACATATCATGTAGCACTTTCTTAATACATCAAAGTTGGCATCACCAGCATTATGATCTAAGACTGATCTTGAAAGTTTCGGATTTCATTGACATCATGCTATTTTGCATTAATCACATCTTGAAAGGATTTTCAGGAAATTTCTGGTACGTGCTCAAAAAGACAGATTTAGTGAATGTTACAGAACAAATGCTCCGCATTCTTAGCATAGAATCCGATACGATATTATAAGCAATGCTACGAACAGAAAAGTGAGCAAAAATTATAAAAGCAGAAAGCCTTTCATCTCGGGTCTAAAACCGCGGCAACAGGGTCAAATGATACTGATTCATTTGTAAAGCTGCTTGAATCTTCTGCAGGCTTCCAAGACATTCTCCCTGTGACCAAATGCGCTGACCCTGATGAAACCTTCACCACTGGGTCCGAAACCACTTCCAGGCGTAGTAACAATGTGGGTCTTCTCAAGTATCTCGCTGAACACATCCCATGAACTTCGGCTCGGAAAGTGGACCCACACATATGGTGCATTCTGTCCTCCGTACACTTTAAACCCAAGCGAGTTAAATGTCTCTACTATAATTTTGGTATTTTCTTTATAGAAGCCAATCACCTCTTGCATTGCCTGCAGACAAAATCCAAAATCAGGATGCTAGCATTCAGCCGTTCACAAAACAGACCATGTATGAAAATTTCAGATTTGGCGAAGCTGGACAAAAAAAATTCAAAAAGGTTTTCTCTCAATGTTTTGACAATAAAGCCGGGCAATGACACTAACCTCAAGCCCTTCCGGTGAAAGGCAAGCCAAGCCACCAGCTTGGGAAATATTACACGCACCATTAAAGCAAGTACAAACAATACGATTGAAGTCCTTGGCAACAGGAAATCCATCTGAGAACAGAAGCTGTTTCGGAACAACAGTCCAACCGAGACGAACTCCGGTAAACCCAGCATACTTGCTAAAGGAAGCTGTTTCAATTGCAACCTACAATAACAAGGAAATTCACACTTCACACATAGGGCTAATCTCTACCGCACTCGATAACAAACACTGGTAAGAAAAAATTGTTAAGTCCAGTGTTACCTCTTTTGCTCCAGGAATTTCAAAGATAGAACGTGGGTTATCATCTGACATATACAGGGCATATGCAGAATCATAAACTATGATAGACCCATTGTCCTTTGCAAACTGAACCAATCGAGTCAACTGCTCTCTAGTCGCAGCAGCTCCAGTAGGATTGTTAGGTGAACAGAAGAATATGATATCTGTTCTGACAACAGTGGATAAATCAGGAAAGAAACCGTTCTCTGGTGTACACCTCATATACTCAATGTTCGCAAACTTTTCAACATCCTTTTGAAACTGTCCAGTCTGACCCATGATAACACTGGAGTCTACATAGGCCTGCATAGAATAGAAAAATTTAGAAAGACACAAAACTCAGTCATTGTAAGAGACCCGGGCCGAACATAACAAGTACAAGAATGACGAGGCTGAGTGATGCCAAATTTGAAGAGGGTGATGGAAATATCTAAATCCGAATTCCACAAGTCCATCTCCTTTCAAATAAACAAACTAAAAGTTTGTTCATTGAAGCTTCATACACCAGACGACCAGACCAATTTAACATAAGAGTATGATAAGTTGAAAAGGATTGATAAATTTACACGACAAAGAGAAGTTACCGGGTATGATGGGTCTTGCACTGCCATTGTAACATTAGATCCAAAAACAACCTGGCCCAGAGTGAAATCAAATCCATCAATATTAGTTTTGTTAGACAAGTTTAAATCAAACATCAACTACTTCAAGAAGAGGTAAGGCAAATACTTTCAAAGAATTATCAAATCAAACCTGAAGGCGAGATATGTCGCATTTAGCACCATCTGACACAAATATATCATCCTCCTCAATGCCAAGGTTGCCATAAAATGTCGAAGCAAGTGCAGATCTCAATGCCTGAAGAAATTAACATGAAGGTTGATCCTTGAAAATTAGTATTTCACATCCAACCAAAACAAAATCCCTTTGTATAACATTAGTGGACTTATTTATTGTCCCAATTAATCCAATTTGGGCCTTTAATTTGTAGTTTGGAAAATAACTTGATACACTCCTCCCCAACTACTGGTAAAACCAAAAAATAACCTTATTAGCTTCAACTTCGAAGCCTCTACTATTTACAATAAAGACTCAACATAACGACATACTTTTTCACCTTGTTCAGCTCCATATCCACTGTAACCCTCCAGTGTAGACAATCCATGAGACCTCTGCCAAAATTGAAAATAATACAAATGGATATCAGCTTAATTTCTTGTACTCATCCATTGATTCAGGCACTAATTGTAAACACAAATTCTTTGCAGCAGAATTCCTACTACACGGGCTTGAATAGGTTTTAATGATGGTAGTGAGCCGAGAAATATTGTCTAGAAACAGAGATTTAACCCTCGAAAGAAAAAAAAACAAGGAATATTTACCTCAGCCATTGCAGAAGTAATAACATCTGGAATAGGTTCAGTAGTATCGCCAATTCCAAGGCTAATCACTTGTGCATTTGGGTACTTGAGCAAGTGCACAGCTCTTCTTCTGGCGACCTATCACGAAAAACATTTAAAAGAACTACTCTCAACTCAACAGCAAATAAATAAAAGCCCAGACAACAACCGAGCGAACTATGCCTTCTTACATAAATCTAAATAATACAATCAAAAGCCAAGCATTTCCAAAAACAGGACATGGAAAACATAATTTGTGTCTCAAGGGAAAAGTTCATGCATAACACCAATGGCAACAAAGAGGAGCATTACACAAATGAGAAGTACAACAGACCTCCGGAAACAGGTAACCAGCTTGAAGCTTGGCAATGTTTGCATTGCGAGAAACCTTTGTTTTGTAAGCTTCAAAACAAACAGCAACAGACATAGCTCCATTTAATCATAAGTATAAGTAACAGCTCAACTACTCAACATTACCAACTCAACTACTCAACATCAGCTTCAAAACAACATAATTCAAGCTTCCATATGCCAAATAAATATTGTAATAATAATGAAGAAAAAGAGTACGAAAATCACCAGTCTGCTGTTCTTGAGGATTGGTAATACATTTAACAACATTGATGTTTTTCAGTGGAAAAGCAACACTCTGGGTTCTGCCGTATTATCCAACACAGAAAACCCCAAACAAAATTATTGAAATGATAAGATGAATGAGAAATGGAATTTTTGTTTTCTAAGCAACAACCAAAAGTTAAACAGAAAAATAGTACCTTGAATCGAAACTGATAGGAGCCAAGAAAGCAGAGGAAGACGAAGAAATCGTTGAAGTTGATAGATTGTTCATCAGAGACATTTTTCAGATTTCCCCCCTTTTCACCCAAAATTACTTGGAAAAGGTTATTTTCTTATGCGGCCAACAATACAACAAAAGGTGATGGCTTTTTTATCTTAAGCCAAACCAGAGATTAAAACCCTAACGCCCCTAGCCTTCGCGATCCCAGAGATTAAAATATTTTGTATTTTTACGTCTTTACTGATCAAACTTCTTCCCCACATATAAAACAAATAAAATGTCTTCAAAAATCCCGAAATTATCTAAACTACCGTTTAGTTCACTTCAATACTTAAACTTTTAAATTTTTAAAATCATATTAATATTTAGTTTTTTTTATTTTAATATTACAATATTAAAAATTAAAGCATTAATACATAAACTCTCAATTTTGGTCTATTTTTATACCTAAACTTTTAATTTTTTCTTCTTCAAAACTTCACGTTAAAATTTGAATAATACTAAAATGAAATAAAAAATTAAACTTTAGGTATGATTTAAAAAAAAACTAAAAATTTAGGTACTAAAGCGGATAACAACTGATAGTTTAGGTACTAAACATATAATTTACCCTATTCTTTTTAGTATAGTCAAAGTAATATTTTTTTTCATTTGAAATAAAATTAAAAAATATAAAAAATTTAGTAAATAAAATGATTAATTTGAAAGAAGAATAAAAGATACTTAAAATTAATACAATAAAAATAATTGATGAAAACAATATAAAATTGAACTTAAATAAATGTAAATAATAATTTATTTATAAAAATTTTGTCTATACACAAAGTAATTGAATTGTGAGTTTATATAGAAAAAAAGTTAAGTTTTTAATTTTACTAAAAAGAATTTAAATATTTTAAAATAATTTGATGACAAATGAACAAAATATTTTCAATTTCTAAAATAGTTTATAAAATAGATTTTACTATTTTTTTCGAATTCAAGAAAGAATAGTTCATTAATTGTATTTTTATAGTCAATAAAACGTTCTCATTGATATCATGTAAAATAAATACGCATGTGCATGGTATCCGAATTCGACGATTTTGACATTACCTAATTTGATTTGGTTGAATTTTTCAAAAAAAATTGATTTGTGCCAGGTCGGGTTGGGTCGGTTTTGAGTTTAAGATGAAAATACCCGACCCGACCTTAAAAAATTATAATTTTATCTTATATATTTAGAGATAATTGTATTAATATCTCTATATATTATTTTCTTTCAATTAAATTCTTATATTTATTGAATAAAAAATAATTTTTAATAAATATATTATTTCGAGTCGGATTCGAATTAGGTGGAATAGTATATTTTTCGGGTTGATGGAGGATTTAAAATTTTTCGAATCAGGTCAGGTGAATCAAAAATTCGACTCGACCCATGACCATCCCTATAACATATAATAAATTATACTTTTGAAAGATGCAAGTATTTATAAAAAAAAACTTACAAGTATTCGGTTAATATAAACATTCATTTTAAAAATAAATCAAAATTCGGTATTAATTTGAGAAAATAGTGATCTTTGGATAAAAAAAATTAGTCCCCTTATCCCACGTCAACTGGGACCTATCTATTGTCTTGTTATTAACCGACGTGGCAGACACCGTATCCACGCGAATGAAAGGCAATAACATTTACGCGTTAATTTTAAAATAAGGAGTATATATTTAGGGAAAGTGGAAAAGCCTCCTCTTAATTAGAATAAATTTTAGGATTAGGGTTTTCGATACTGAAGGAGAAACGGTGTGATTGTTTCAATTTATTCGTGTTTTCACTTCAGGATTGCATCAGTCCGTCAAGTGATTGGGTAAAGTTTTTCTTTTTCTTATTCTTGATATTTATTTTGTGGAGAAATCTTACTGTTTAAATCGTCTCTGAGAAAACGAATTTCTAATTTCTTTGTGGAGTTTTTTCGATTTGAACTGCTGGGTTTTCATTGGGGTTTAAGGATAATGAAAGGGATATTCTTTTGATGTGCCGATGCATGTGGATACGGTCAAATGAGTTGAACTATGCTTTCGATAAGTAAATTTGATTTTTGTTTATATTTGATCATAGCTTTGGAATGGATTCTGTTTGGTTTTTTTGTTTGTTTGAAAAACTGGATAAATAATTGTTGGGTTTGTAGAAGTCATCTTTGTAATATTTTCTTTTGTTGAATTTGAATTATGCATGTTTTACTGGGAAATATGTTAACTCGTCTGGGTTTGAATATGCTTTTGCAGCTTAGATGGATCTGGAAACTGAAAACAGAATAGCTGCTATTCTCTTGAAAGAAGCATCTGAACTGAGGCGGCAAGCAGATAGGGAAGGTGTTCATGTGTATTGTCAGCAGCCAAAAGTAAGGGGTCTGCCAAATTCTCGGTTTATCACTGCAACTGTGCTCGGTGTACAGCAAGGTTAGTTATCTTTTTGTTCTGTCAAGCTTGCATTTTCTTCTGTATGCTTCTAGATTTAAATGTTGTACTTGATGGTGGGTTCTCACTACCTATACTTGTTGTCTAATTCTAGAGCGAAGTTAGGTTTACTAACGACACTGATTAGTTTTATAAATTCCAATATGGACATATGAAAGAAGAACTAAGAGCTTTTACATGCCTAAATAAAATAGTGTTTTGCTTAGGTGCCCTTTGAAAGTACAATTATTGCACATAAATCCTGTAAAAAGTAGAAAATAAAATGACATTCTTTTGATATACCCCCTCTCACCCTGCAATTTCTGCTGCCTTGTATTTGGATGGTTTTGGACCAGCAATAACATCTATTGATATTCTTATGCATCTTGGGTTAAAATTTTCCTTTGTAGATTTGTCTCTTTCACATTTTGTTGCTAATGTGTGTTTGTTGCCTGTGCATGTTTCTTTCCCCCTCTTTCTTAGCTAATCGAGCTGTTGAAGTGAATGAGATGTGGCGTGCAAGACAAAAGGAGCTGGAGCTAAATGATAGGCTAAAAGGAGGATCGGAAAATGATACCAAGCACAGCAGGAGTTATAGGAACAGTAGAAACTCCTCCAGAAGGACCAGTGAAAAGCATGACAGTGATTTGAGTGCTTCATGCTCATCAAGCAAGATAATGAACGAGAGTTCTTATTTAGGGGAAGATGAAGGTCTAAGAGATGAAGATATTGAGAAATTTCTTCAGTCAAGGTTTGTACCGGCAACCGGCTATAATGTTTCTTCCCACATTTATATGAAACAAAAAACTGTTATGTATGAAAATCAGTGGTTTATTGACTGACTTGAACCTGTTTTATTACAATAGGGTAAAGCGTGGTCGAGGTTCTATAGGTTCAAGGATGGATGAAACAGGACCTTACCTACCCAAAAATTCTGATTCCCCGGAAATGGTTTCAACAAACCCTATTGTGAGGGAACATCGTGTCACATTAGGTCCCGAGAAGCCTTTTTCATTGAGGTCTGATGAATCTTCTTCCGATGAGGATCTTCGAGAACATAGACGGAAGAAAGAGAAGGATCCCTCTAAGTGTTCAGAAAAGAAACATAGAAGGAAGCACGAAGCTAAAGAAAACTCGATAGATAAGAAAAAGAAGAGGAAGGAGGAGAAAAGAAGTAAACATCGCTAGTGTATACAAAGGTTTTACATAAGTTAGTTTTATCAATTAATTCATGTACCATTTGGATCAGCTGTAGTTAGTAGAGACGGGTTGTTCCTTATTCTATGATGAAAATGAGTATTTGTGAAGGTGTGCACTGGAATTTGATAAATAAATAGATGATGTAATCCTCTCGGTTCAGTGTTTGTACGGTCGACAAGCACAAATAACTTCTGGTTTTTAAATAACCTTATATTTATAAATGGATTGCTTGTTTTTGTCATACATGGTTCAAAAATATAGTTTCGCTTCACTCAATTGCGTAATGCATTTTGTATACAACTGGTACAGCCTCACATGTACCAATAATAAGCTCTAACAAACCAAATTACACTACGCTGAGAAATAACAAATACTCGGTACGCAACAAGGCAAGGCAAATGTCATGAATCCTCGTAATGATGGTCCGTCTCATCAAATATCTCCTCCTGGCCAAGGTCACATAAGGCAAATGTGTGAGAAATGGGTCGTAGAAATGAAATTAAAAGCAGGATAATCGTGATAGGTACCTGTAAAAGCTCTTCAATGACATCTTCCATTGTTATTATGCCAACAGCCTCCTCTTCTTCGGGGAGCGTTGGGAGTGGGTTGCCATTTAAATGTAGGATGTCTGAATTCATACCCTTTCTCCACTTCCTGCTCCGAGATCCACTTTTAAAAGAATTATGTGCAGCAGGAAAGCTCTTCCACTTCTTAAGTGAACGTTTACGTCTTAAAGCGTTATCTTGTGGATGTTTCTCACCATCAATGTCAACTTTCACTTCCGGCAAAGGGCCTATTTTAAGAGAGAGGATCAAACAGATATAGAAAACAAGTTTCCGTGGAAGGCTAACTGGAATAAATGGAAATTCGGAGAGAATGTTCCAATTAAGAGGGTGATACTTACTCAAAGAAGAGTCGTTAGAAGATAGCTGCTGTGTCTTTTTGCACTGTCTTACGACAACAGCCATATGGCTATGACCTTTTTGGAATTCATTTAATATATCATACAATGGCAATGTTTCTTGAACCCTGTACCAAGAACATATATACACATATAAGATCAACCAATGAGTGTAGTGTGGACAGTGAATCTCTTTGCAGAACAACACAAGTTTTCCATTTCTTTTAAGAGTTGATTTATTATAAGATACCTTGGAATCCTTCGTATAGTGACACTCTTCACAGGCACTTCATCTTCAGGGTGAACTGTCAATAAATTTTTTACCTATGAGATTAAAAGATAATCAGTGTTCAATAAAAACACAATTAAATGTAAAGCTTAAGGAATAGGGAAAGGTCAAAAAAGTAAAAAAAAAAATATTTATAAATGTTCAGAAGTGTACTCGAACTAAATGTACCGCCAGATAATAAGTACTTAAGGGAAAATCTTAAGAGAAATGGAGGTACAAGGGTGGTGGGATGCATTAAAGATTTATGCAACCATCAGCAGGGGTTAACCAGAAAGCCCGTCATGTCATAGAGCATCATCCAGTTAGAAATTTCATGTTAAAGGGAGCAGTTTGAAGGAGAGTAAAAATGATAAGTTGGAAACAATTAAAGAACAACACTCGGCAAACCATAATGATATTAATTTTAGTCAAAGAAAAATGATTACCAGAATAAGTCCGATAATGTTTGTCGGGTGCTCATAATAAACTGGAACTCTGCTATGCCCTTTCTCCAAAATTAAACTCATCAATTCCCTGCCCATAGCAAGCATGTAATGGTAGTTTATAAAATCAAATGAAAGTTGAAGTACATAAGCAAATGCCATCTTTCGTGATTATTTACAGAAAACCATACCTATCAAGCTTGGCATTAATATCAATTGCAAATGTTTCAGATATGGGAGTCATGGCATCTTTAGCTTTTTTCTCAGTGAGCTCAAGTGCTCCAGCTATAATTGTTGTCTCATCATGGGTCAGTTCTCCACCTTTGCCAGCCTAATAAAGGTCCAACAGAAGGATCGTAAATCTGAAAGTTATTACGATGAACGAAAGAAGGCATTGCACTTCAAAAGGCAAAGATACATCAAGAATTTTACAATTGAAAATAAGAGAGGTCAGAAAGTACAACAGTGATAAATTAATGGTCAAACAAACATTGATCTTAATAAACAGAAACAACCAAGATAATAACTAGTTATAGAAACAAGCAATTTAAACAACTATAGGGAAAAGCTTGGATGCAAACCTCGTTTCCATGCAAATCTACTAGGGTTTTCAACTCGGCTCTTCGAAAAAGTGCTACATGTCCATGGCCCAACAGAAAGTCTAACAGCTGAAAAAAAAACAGAGAAGATCAGCCACAAGAGCAATCTGCAGGAATTACATGGTTTTTCTCACTGTCATAAAAGCATTAAAGGTGAGTATTTCTGGCAACATCATCACCTTGCTTATCGGATAGGCAACAGGAAAACAGATCCAAACAAGAACTTGAACGAATGGAGCTACCGTTGCACCAATTGCCAAACCGTATCGAGAACAAACAGATTGTGGTATTATCTGCACAAACAGTTAAATTGCAATTAGGATTTAGGGCATTCATAGAACTTGATTCCTTTTTTAACAGCTATAAGTAATTTCACTTTCTAAGAGCAAGTCCAAAGCCATAATGGTCGGAAAACAATTTTTTTAAACCAACGGTTGCAACCTTCTGGGAAAAATCTGCTCAGCCAAAAGTTTAGCAAATAATATCCGAGCAACATATCAAAATTTTCATATCGCAAATAGTCATGTTCAGTGTTTAACAAGGATTTCTAACTCAACCGAGTTCAAAAGCGCTTCAAATAAAATAAGCCAAGGTGGATGCTCACCTCACCAAACAGAAGAATCAAGGTCACTGAAATCAAGATAGCACCCCAAGCTGTGACCAGACCATCAAGAAAAATGGGAAGTGCCTGATATAAATAACAAAAAAAGTTCCGAACATTAAATAACATTTTCAAACATACGAAACCAGCTCACAGGACAGGTCGAAGGTGTATCTATAACATATACCTCCATCGCAGCAGCATTGCATATAAGTAGTGTACAAAGCAACAAATGCTGTTTTTTGACAACCGGCAATATTTTTTCTGTTCCAAAAATGGATAAAATCAGCATGTGTAACTTTTAATCCGAATATTTTACATGCAGAGTACAGCAATATCTGACAATAATTTCAATAACCATCACTTAATTTAAGAAGCACAATCCAGTTTTGTCAACTAACTTTAAAGTCTACCCTTCAAGTTCAAATTTGCTGCATTTCATGAACTACGCTGTAAGGCCTTATCAATTAATATTCACAGATTGGGTTCTTTCATTCATTTGATTTTCCAACGAAAGAAACCCTTAAAATTCAAAGAACAAGCTAAATTACCAAGAAAACTAGCTCAATCAAAGCAAAAAAAAAAAAAAAGCAAAGCAAAGCTATTTACGCAAGCTCAATAACAGTAGAAACGGATGAAAATGAAGAAGCGGAGAAGTTTACCAGCATGTTTACGATCCTTGGGAGTCCCAGACTTGGCGAGAACCTCAAGATCAACGAGACTCATCGACATAAGGCCCAAAGTAAGGCCCGACATCAAGCCGGCGAACATCACCAGCAATACAATCACCAATATGTGAATAAAGAAACCCGTCTCGCAACAACTGTACTCCACCGCCATTCGACTTCAACCTCTCTCTATTAAAACAACCTCAAAAATCAAAACCAGAAGATAAAGGAACAGCTAGGGCTTTCGTTAGAGAAACGAGGAAGGAATACGATAAACCTCCTCCATTACTTAGGGAAGCAAATTTGCTAGAGAGCTGCTTTGAGAGAAACAAATGAGTAAATCAAAAGCAAACTTTTTTAAGAAAGTGCCTTATGTGGATGAAAAATGATGAAATGCTAATAAATAAGGATCCAATCTATACAGTTGTGATTTGTGAGTTTATCGAGCTGATCTCTATGACTAATTATATAATTTATAGTTTTATATCATGAAGATCATATACCTACGTGTACGCTGTACTGGCAATTTGTGTTTAGGTGTTTTCACAAATATTATAATAATCATCTTTAGCTTGTCTGAGATTTCCTGCGTAACTCGTTATTATTTTTAATTTAATCGTTGTTATTTGATCATTATAATTTTTTAATAGGATAAATTATATCGATTCTCATTGAATCGTTTGCTTATTAAACTTATAGATTGAATCATTTTCTTCACTCTTCGTTTTTTCTCAAACGTTGGGATAATGTGGTATTTTTTATTTTTTAATATAAAATAATTAAAAATATTAAATAAAAACATAAGGTAGTTGGATGACACCGTTAACCGTCGTATATAGTAGTTGTTTGTTCCCAAATTTCATGGGTCGCTTCGCCTCGACACCTTGAGTCTGAATCCGGCCTCCGTTTTGTCAAAACTTGTTCCGAAGTCCACGAATTTGAGATTGAAAGTGAGGAACTCGAAACATTTCAGTCCATATTCACAGGTTTTGTGACATTTTCTGGTGAAACAACCACCATATTCAGACAAAGGGTGTCGAGACAAATCGATCCTTGAAATTTGAGACCGAACGATCACCTTCAACGACGGTGGACGATGGCTAGAATAAAAATGAGGGGTGACCGACAAAGAGAAAATAAGAAGAAGAGAAGGAAAAAAATGATAAATTATATAATTCTTCACTGAATTTTACTCTTTTTCCTATTTTACTCATCGTATTTTAATATTTACAATGATCACCCTGTCATTTACAATGGTATTACATATTCAGTATGAAATTTTGAGAGTTGTTGGACTCTGATGATGATGGTTCGACAAATGTGATAGCTGGAATCTAGGTTTATTCAGATTGAAAAGAGAGAGACAAAAAAGAAGAATACTAATAATAATAATAATGAAGGAAGCAACAGTAAAAGAAGGAAAATAGGAAAATAATTTTGTATTTAAATCAAAATAACATCGTTTTGATTAAAATTTAATTTTTTTATATAAATATAAAACAACTTTGTTTTAGTATATACCATAACATCATTAATTATTTAACGATAAAATGACTAAAATATGAGCAATTTGGCAGTTGAGTGAGTAAATTAAAATTCTTTAAACTTCAACAATCAAAGAGAAGTGATAAGATA